AATTTTCAATATCTAAATCTTACATAATGCATCTTTAAGCTAGTACGATACTATTATTACACACTATGCCATAGAATATTGAATATTGACTACATGTATTCATGTTTCTTGCAAATCTGATATAGACTAGACATTTAGACATTGTATACATGTATGTTTGAGTTACTGTCATATTGACTATTTAGCTGTATGTTTTAGTTACATGTGAGTGTATTTCAGTAGTTACCAGATATTTACTGTGTATTACTGTACACTATGTTCATGCCCCTGGTACATCTGATATTGACTGTGTATTGTGTATTACTTTTCACTATGTTCATGCCCCTGGTACATGTGATATTGGCTGTGCATTACTATGTATTATGTTCATGCCCCTGGTAATACTAAAAATATTATGGGTATATCAATGTTATTGACTTAACATTACTTGGTGTATGTTTAAAATGATGTGATAATAATTATTCAATATATTGGCTTTATTTTTATTGTGGGCTCATTTTGTATGGAGCCGAATCATTGCCATATTAAGAGAAAATATCATGGTTAAAATTGACAAATTATCATAAACAAAATGGTAAAAATGGCCATTTTCAAGATTTTTCACCACATAACACAAAATCACTATATTAGTATCAAAACAAACCAAAAAATCTAGTTATGTTTTTTTCACTTTCTACTTTTCGCCTTTGCAAATTCACTGTAACTTTTTCATCTTTGCATTTTAAACTATCAGCATTTCCCCATTGTATTTTCCACCACCAAAATTTCTCCAATCGAACGGACAGTGTTTATCGTCAGTATTTATCTTCTCGGCTAAAATTACTGCTTCATTGGGTTATATATAACTCTTAAGAATTGTCCTATTTTATCTATTATTATTTGGAGAAATTTGTTGTCATGTCGAACAACATTTTGTTTAATGAGTTATGTCATTGTCATCGAACCTTGAGGTTGGCTCATTGTATTAATAACCCGAATAAATCTTTGACAGCACATCGGCATGAATGTAAGTGAATTGCTGGCGTTATATCTAAAATAAGTGTAACTACAAAAGAGGTTAACAGTTATTAGACCATGCAATAAATTGCAAACAAGACAATTAGGACATGGTAGAGAGTATCATGTTTTGTCAAGAAGAGTTGATCTGCCAAAGTTATTTATTCTACAAGAAGAGTTACAGTTGATAATGATCTGTAATTTGTGGAAAATAAAAAAATTAAAAAATAAAATATCCCCGAAAAGAGGTATGAATTATTGTTATCACTGGGTCGGTTTTTGCAGAATATTTTAATTTACATTTTCTATCGATCATGATAAGGTACTGTATTTGTGATCAAAACACATGCAGCAGAGCCTACCTGTCCACTGTCAATATTAAAATCTAATGGATTATGTAGTTGTCATCAAATATGAAAGTAAAGACATAAATTATTTGTTCTTTTCATATTGATTGGGGATTAAATAATGCGAAACTAGAAACAAAAGTTATATAATTAAAATACAACTAGAAACAAAAGTTATAGTAATTAAAATACAAGTCGGGTCTAATTAGGCCTATATATGCCTCTCCCACGAGACTCACGAGTTAAAAAAAAATCCCTATATTATTGACGGTCCGACAGTATCATGTTAGTAATAGTTATTGAATTTTAATCATTAGCATTTTATACTTTTGCAAAGCAGAATTTTTTAAAACAAGTATTTGGTAGCCAATATATAGGCCTAATAAGTTTTATGGGGTCTTCAATAAAAATACATATGTGGCGTCCTCTTTGGATGTTGGCGTACACACCTATGGTACCTACAATTAATCAATTACCAACAAATAACATATTACGTTAAATATTGTTTTATATAATTCATTAATTAGCAGGTGTTTTTAAAAGTCAAAATCTGGTAGGCCTACAGCTTGCCCCCAGATCCATTCATTTGATTTGATATGTTTGTTGCTTATTGTTTGAAATATTATGTGTAGCCTATATTGTGTGTCGTGTCCACAGGTTTGTATTGTGTAATTGTTTATCTGTGATCCGGTCCTCTTGCTCTTACTATTCACTCAGCTAACCGAAGAACTCTGAATGCATTAGCTGCTTATATCAACATAGATTTATGTCGTTGTGTGCCCATAGTCCCTATCAGGAATCATTACAGATGATAAAAACAGATGAGTTATTATGTCACCTTCGGACGAACTGGGAAACAGACCCCTTTCTTTATATGGTCAGTTAGATTGGAGAAAATGTCATAGTCGAAAATGCAATGAAGAAAATCTGATAGTTGAAAATGCAAAGATGAAAAATTTAGAGTGAATCTGTAAAGGCGAAAAGTAGAGAGGGAAAAAACATAGCTAGATTTTTACATTGTTAATTTTTGTTGAGCAATTTTTGTTTTGATATTAATAGTGATTTTCATGATGTTAAATATCCACTAGGTGTTATGTGATAGTTATAAGTGAAAAATCTCGAAAATGGCAATTTTTACCATTTTGACTATGATAATTTTGCAATTTTAACCATGATATTTTCTCTTAATATGGCAACAATTCAGCTCCATAATTTTGGATACCAACATTTCGACCACGAAGACAAAGGGTGTGTACCTCCATACTTTGGAACCTTAAAATAGATAAATAAAAAAATGGGTCTACTAAAAGTCCATATTGACATGTAATATGAATGAATATAAACTATAACACATACTTATGGAAGAACAATTACTGATTTATTTGGGCGACATTTCGAAGAGTATTCTCTCAACGTTTTCAAGCAAGTACAGTTATTGCTGTTATCAGTAATCTACTGAGGCACAATGAAGAGCCACCACTTTTATAATTTGATGATTGTAAATTTCGATTGAGAGAATCACTTTAATCTTGCAATAATTCTTGCAACATCAGATCACAATGATGATGATGATGTAAGAGGCAGCATTCAATAACCTTTTAACTTGCTTGAAAACGTTGAGAGAATACTCTTCGAAACGTCGCCCAAATAAATCAGTAATTGTTCTTCCATAAGTATGTGTTATAGTTTATTGCTCTATCCAGTTACTAAATGCCTCTAAAAGATCATGAATGAATATAAAGAGATTTACATTCAATTTTTATTGCCATTTCTAATCAATTTTGTTCGGTGAAATATGTTGTTTGCGCCTGCTTAATCCATTCTACGCTTGTTAATATTTTGTTGTTTGTGAATCAGCCATTTTTAATTTCTGCTTAGTCCATTCTGCACTTGTTTTTGTTAACATTTTAAATCTTTTGTGACTCAGCCATTTGAATTTCTTCTGCTTTGTAGGATATGTTTTACTTTGTGATTGGTTAAGCTAGGTTAGGGTAACTTGTCTATAGTTAGGGTTGGGTTTATACGGTAACTTGTCTACCGGAAGTCAAGATAGAGTAAGGGTTATTTGTTTATATGTTTATAGTATGGGTAGGGTTAGGGTAATGTTAAAACTACCCCTGTTGATATTTCATGGACAGGGAAGTGACATGGCATTTTAATACCTCTAGCTGCAAGTGCAGTTTTCTACAGGTAACATGTATTGCACCTATTCCCAATACAATGATATACTTTTTCCCATTGTCAAATTACCTAAATGCCAAGACAAAATATCAAAGAAAACCTACCTAAAACTAGTTAAAAGGTTATTGAATGCTGCCTCTAACATCATCATCATCATTGTGATCTGATGTTGCAAGAATTATTGCAAGATTAAAGTGATTCTCTCAATCGAAATTTACAATCATCAAATTATAAAAGTGGTGGCTCTTCATTGTGCCTCAGTAGATTAATGATAACAGCAATAACTGTCCACCAGTAGGTTTTTCTTGGAAATATGTACATGTATTCTAATTAGTGTACTCTCTCTCGATGTACATGAAGGTATATCCAGAATCCTGAAGTCATGGTTTATGGTTATGCATATCATCAGCTCATTAACCAAATATGCTAGATTTAATATTGTAAAGTGGTGTTTCGAATTAGTTATCTTTCCCTAGATCTGGTTCTAGTTAATTTAGAGGAAGGCTAACCATGAAAACATACTTTCTCTAGGAACCAGTCTCATGCACCCTCATGTCTTTATACCATCCCCATGAAATTTCAATTTAGAATTTCTATGCTATGATTAAATGAAGTATACATTTCTGGAACGCATGTTTAAATCATGTGTAACAGCAATTATAGATTTAATAGAAGTACAGGTATGAAGTAAATACCCCAGCAATTGCATCAACTATTTTGATTGGTCTCTGAACAAAGCTAAGACCAATGAAAGCCAATCGTTGCTGCCAAGTGCCCCAATAAGCTTATTATGCTGGTTATCATTGTCTCTGGAATAGGCCCTATGACTTCTATGAGGTGCATGTTTAAGTTACTTTAACTGGGTTGTTTTTCTTTGATTATTTTGTAATGTGAATAATTGCTTAAGAGGTCTGGGTAAGTTCTTACATAGTCTATGGTAAATAGAAGTATGTTAAATAAGAAAAGAATCATAAATAAATGTCACCTCAAATATATGCCATTTAATAATAATAAATGTAGGCCTATTCCATGACTGTTTTTAAACAATGCTTGTCCTAAATGAGCTGCCAAATGTACCATAAATGATTAATCAACTATTATCAACAGTTAACTTTAGTAATGGATTCTTTAGTATTGTTTTGCAGAGTGACATATTATTTGATTGATTCAGAATAGAATATTACAGTAGAGATAATTAGTCATAATAACTTTGCTATAAATGTCATTCAAAAAGCTACTGCATATATTATAGTAAAACAAACATTAAATCGAATGTGTTTTGTTTTCAATCAATTAAACAATATGCCCTAAGGTTATTAGATATGTTAGATACACCATTATCTTTGATCATTTTAAAGACCGGACACCATGTACCGTTAGACAAAGACTTTTACATGGAAAAAAGTTGAACATGGCCTCAGGCGATATCATATCTGCGTGTGAAAATATGTTAGACGCTATAATAAAAACACTTACAGAAATGGCGTTCACATATGTTGGAATAATTTCAGTGTTGTTCGTAGAAGATGTCAGAGCTCGTAAATTCAAAAATATTCCTCCGATCACTAATCCAAACACAATAACAACTATTCCCCAAGCTAAAAATATCCACAAACGTCCCTCGCTGCATCGTCCATCATAACTTTTCCCCCTTCTCTCCATTCGTCCTCGTCCTTTCTCTCTATCCATTACACATGGCGGTGTTTTGAACTTCTTTTCATCAACTTTAGCCATGTTTTTTTTTCAAAAGAAACTGATTGAGCGATGTACAAATTAATGGCTATGTTGGCAAGACCACGAGGTTTTATTTCTTTCTAGCACGTATACGCTCCATTTCTCCGCTGTCTGAATACCGACACAGGCCACTTCTTTGTGTACCAACTGGCTACCGCTATACTCCTTTATTCACCCATGGGAACTTCTATTTATAAAACAGTTCAGCTCCAACTTACACCTTCTCCTTCATAATAATAAAGAACGGGTATTGCCGCGACAAATCATCCAGATTCGTGTGAAATGTAAGACACCAACAAACCCTCAGAAGCTTTTCAGCCACAAGTTAAAGTTTTCTAAGCACTCACAAAGTAAACTTTGAAGGACTTCTCAACTTGTACCGTTATTTACCGCTAAAACATTCTCTTGTAGCGATGATGCACGAGCCCTATCTTACGCCAGCCACGTTCAGAGTCAACGGCGCGAGGACAACGCGAGCAGTGCTCGTGTCTGTTAGTATACCGTCACGCTTCACGATTTTGTGTGAGTCAGGGGTAAACTTGTCGAAAACTGAATGCGTGTATAAATAGATGCAATGTATCTAAAATTGTAATAAAGCATAAATAGTGATTTCATGCGTCAGGTATTCTGAAATTTGAACATAAAGCGTGTCAAACGAACTTTTTCTTTTTATCAGATCATATATTTTTTTTATCACATACAGATGTTATAGTAGCGATTTACATGTATCAAAACTAATTGTATTATTATAATGTTCCAAATAAAGTAGGAGCAGAACAGTAGGACGTTAAACCCCATTTCATTTCATTTCATTTCCAAATAAAGTCGTGCACAGACACTATCAACATGGCGTTTAACGTCCACTCGGCACAGACTAGGTCATTTCGAGACTAACACATGGTTCAATTTTATTTCAATAATTCGCTTGCGCGTAGGGGGTCTTTAGCGTCGGAGGAAACCGGAGGACCCAGAGAAAACCCACGAAGTTGAACATGCGACCCCACTCACTATATTAATACCCGGCGAATCGAAACCACGCCAGCTGACTCAATGACAGACCGTATGATACAGCGTGCACGTGCTAACCATTCGGCCACCCAACCCCCCCATAATTAAACAGACCCGAGTATAAAAAGCCTTCGTGAAAAACGGACTGGCTTGTTAGCATATAATAGCAGCATTGCTATTAATTTGTTTTTTTCTGAGATAAATCTTGTGCTGTGAAATAAATAGAATTAGAATGATTTGGGTTTTTTTTTTACCAAAATGTTTTTGAATAAACCTTTAAATGAAATGAGGTGTAACGTCCTACTTTTCTGCACCAACTTGGCTATATAATAAAGACGGTCACACGTCATGCCCGGACAGCGGCGCTACGGCTTATTCTTAATTCTTTTACGTGTACAAAATATGTACACGGGACCTCGGTTTATTGGGCCACCCGAACGACTAGACCCTGTTTCTTGTCAGGCCCTCCGATGTGATCCACCGACTTTTGGAAAATCCCGAGGAATTTTCTCGGCCAACACCGGGTGAACCCGAACCTCCAGGTTGGAGAGTCATGATCAGCGCCTTACTCATTGAACCACAACATTTAAATCCTCAATATGTCAAAATTAACGCAGAATTACTTTCATTGAAAACAATTTTGGTCCAAACTTATTGAGATCAACCAGTTAGGATATTAAATCCCATTTCATTTTCATTAAATTTTCTGAATTAAGAACTCTAACCATTTCTTCATATACAAAAATATGTCACTATTGTATAGTCTACTATTATTATAACTTGTTTACTGGGGTAATTCCTGTAAATCCATTTTCAAATTGAATCCAACTATATAACTATGTGGCTTATTACCGAAAAATTGATCGATTTACAAAGATGAACATAAATTTCTTAAACTTCCAAGTATTACAAATTTCGTAATCAAATAGTCATAATTAATGATTTCTTCTCGGAAATCGTCGAAAAATTGAAAGCGGCATTCTTTTTCTTAAAAAAAACAAAACCAACCGAATAACCTATTAAACATACATTATGCAAGAGCTAAAGCTGCCCATTGCAGGTCTTTCTTTGGGCCTGAAATAAACTATTAATTAGACATTTATTAACATGGAAATACCTTAGGAGAAGAACAGTAGAACGTTAAACCACGTTTCATTTCATTTCATTTCATATTATGTGTCAGATTTTCACTGGATTTGAATCCGATTTGCTGCCCCACACTCAATGATGATTTAATCCAAAAATGGATAATCGAATCTATGTTTATTATCGTACCGACTTAAGTAACGATGATCGAGGCTAGGCCTAAAATTCAAACGCTAATATCTCAGTTCAGAGATGAGAAATTTGAATGAAACTTTCAGCATATTCCCTTTACATTATCTAGTTGTTAACTATTATAATGTGTTAATTAGTTTTCATAATCATTCTGACAGTTATCGTAGGAAATCACCGAATCTCAGTTTGATTTTTCTCTTACCAAGTTAAATAAAGCATTAAAGTTGGCCACAACATTTATACGGAAAACAATCACTGGTATGTTCTCTTATGGTTATCAATCACAAACATTTGTCGCAACGTCGTGCTATATGTTTCACGAAACCAGTGATTGTTTTCCATATAAAATGTGGGATGTTTTTTTTTAAAACTCAATTTCATTGAACAGCTCTAGTTCAAAATTAATCAGTTTGATCAATTCTATACTTGGAAAAAAAAGGCTGTTCACATTTCATACTATTTTGAAAGTAAAACTATTTTAATGTATAGACTGGTAATATTATGTGTCAATGACACGCGTATAAACAGATCTTCACGAAGAACACATTATTAGTAGCCTGTTACAACGTATGCGCTCTAAATATTACTATGAAATTTGAAAACATTTCTTAAACAGAAGGGTTAAACCCCAATTCTTAGCATGGTGGGAATGAATTGGCAACTAATGAATGTGATCTTCAGGTAAAATCTTTAAAAAAAATAATTATAATCCACTGAGCTTTTCTTCAGGTTTAATTTCCATTTTGAAAATGTAGAGCAATCCTAGTCTAAAATAAAATTTACAAAACATTAACATTAAAGTGGTCTGTATCCTAATATTAAAAGAGGTTACTTTCCTTGTATCATAAAATTATTGTAATTGCTAATTGGATAAAGCAACCACTTTCTGCGCCAGCAGGGTTAATGAAGATGGACATACGCCCTGCACAGTAGGCCTACATTTATTGTACATAGGGCTACCCTATATTACTCTTAACAACTGGATTTAAATGTCCATTGTTATATGTTTATTTCTATAATATCTAGTTGATGTTTATTTATCATTAAGAAATTTATTGAAATGAGGTTTAACGTCCCACTCGCTGTCCCAACTAGGATTATAAAGATGGGCATAAGCCAAGCAATGTGCCATGAGGGAAATCTTCCATCGAATTCCAAATGTCATGTGTTCTTTTACGTGGTTTGACATCGGATTTCCATCCCATATGAAAGACCGACGTTTTTTCGTACCATGCCCTCATCCCTGTCAACACTGGGATCGAATTCGGGATCTCCTGATTATCGATTGCACTGAGCCACCATGACTCCCTTGCTCAGAAGAATCAAATTAATATATTCTAAATCATGATTATTGTACCCATCGACAGACTCGCTTGGATATTCAAATTTGTTGCCAAGCTACTAAAATATCCCGGGAATGATAGATTTCGAAAGTATGGCATAGTTATAATACGAATACGAAGTAACCTTTCGGCATAGAGGTGAATGAATAAGTAACGAATGACTTTCAATGAAGAATAGAGTAATAGTGGTGTTTACCCTAATATTCAAAGGGGGTTATTTCCCTTGTACCTTGACCTGTTATTCGAAGCCACGCACCAATTTTTCATTTAAATCATTTTTATCACCCAATAATACATTCTACAGTAGATATCGCTTGTGTGATATATTTCATAATCTACTGCGATATCTCCTTAGGAGATATCGCTTTACATGAATTTGATTGGTCAGTTGAAAAGGAACTACTTTTTTTTATTTTCAAAGAACAGTTCATTTCTTATTAAAAATAACTTTTTTTTAAATTAAAAATGAACAATTGTTATTCAATTGACCTTGATGGAAACACTGGGTCAATATAAAGGACTTTGCAATGGTTGAATTGCTGTCAAAAAATGATGTATCACTACGCCGTAATGTTCAGTAAAAGTGAAATCTACAGTAAAGAATTATATTTATCTATTTGTGCATGTAAGAAGGGATTGGTTGATAAATAAAATCTCCTACTCTTCTTTTTTGATATCAAAAAAAATCAACACTCGTTGATAAAGTAAAAAGAAACTCGGCAGAGCCTCGTTTTTTGTTACTTTATCAACTTGTGTTGATATTTTTTGATATCAAAAAAGACTGGTAGGAGATTCTCTATATATATCAATGCAGATTCCAGTGCGTTCACATATCTTATTTACGTATTGGGGCTAAGTCAAGAGCTATGTGAATAATTAGCCAATCATGCCCAGGATCAACCTTGTCCCGAGATCTTATGGATATTCAGGGCCGGCGTAAGCAATTAATGATTGAGGGGTCTACAATCTTAGGGGTCAAGATCGACGGAGACGGTTCTAAGCTATTTTTGGCTAATAAAATTACTCAGCAATGAGTAATTCTTTTCTAAACCCCTTACCATGAAAACACATTCGATGGTGGTTTCCTGTGATGCTGAACTGGAAAAATATATACATAATAACATAGCCTGCACACATTGTATGAATATGATGGATATAATTCGTATGGGCAATACCAATCATTAGGTACTTTAGCAGCAAACACAATCTTTACAGTTTTTAAAATGTTTCCATAAAGGTATCACAGTCTTTAACTGGGCATAACTGAGAGCAGTCATAAATACAACGGAAGTGAGATGGACTTGATATAGCAGGATTTTTTTCTTCTAAAAGTCTAACTACTGACTCATAATAAAATTACACAACCTGGCAATTATAAGAAAGGTAATAATTAAATTAACCCCCCCCCCCCCTCATAAATCCCCCCCCCCCAACTAGCCCCCCCACTCCCCCGGGCTTGATATTGTCACATACCAAGTTTCATAATAAAAAAAGTAGGATGAAAAGTGTAGAATCTAATGTGATAACGTGCAATTGTGAACAGGGGTGACGACGATATTATGTCCACATTGGCGCTTACCCCCCCCCCCCCCCCCAAAAAAAAAGAAAACACAAAAAAAAAATCCCACAATAAAATGATCCGTTTCAGTGGGTACATTTAATATCCTATATCTTTGTTTATGGCCCTGAGCCCAACAATCCGTCCTTTATTTTAAGGAATATTTTTAATCAAAGGATACAAATCGACACCGTCTTTGAAGACACTCATACAATACTGAAATCTCCGGGGCTTATACTAATACAAACTGTTTCATGTGGAGATGTGGAAGCTTCTTGGTAAATACGAGTAAGATAGCTAAATAAATTGATCAAAACTTCCGTCATGTTCGTCGAAGTTCACAGGCCTGAATCCTGAGAAGCTTCGTCATTTTTGAAGAAACATCGAGGTCCACCCGTGTACACATTAGCGTGAGAGTAAAGGAGCTCTTAGCGAAGTTGGAATTTGATGAAGAGAAGGTGTAAACGTCGCAGTCTTGACACACTCACCCCCACATTGCACATGTTAGTTTCAATGACCTAAGTATTGTGTTGACGAGACGTTAAACCCGATTCCATTCCATTCTTCTACATAAAATACACAGGTTATTGAATCACATTCATATAACTATAAAGACTGTATTTATTGCAATATTTTACTATAAAATTACTATGTATTATAATTCTCTATCACGTTATACATAATATATAATTATATCAAAACTCTATATAAAGCCAGTATATCATATCTATATAATGATAGTCATGCACATCTATTAACAACAAAGGCGATACAATACAAATTTCATAATCAATTAGATATGTTTAAAGATTTCGTATGTTCATTAACAAACTAAACATTTTTTGATACATATTCATCCAAATACAACCTGTTAATAGACTTAAAATACACATATATATATAATTATATTATAATATTTCTTTGGAATTCCCGTATCCAGGAACATTATTACCACGATAACATCTTCGGGCACCCAATTTCTGATAATTTGATGGAATGAAATCATTTTCCAATTATGTATAATTCAAATTCCACGAGTAATATCTTCAAAATCCACTGGATGCACCAAGGACAATAAATTATAATCTTAATACATATTCATCCAAATACAACCTGTTAATAGACTTAAAATACACATATATATATAATTATATTATAATATTTCTTTGGAATTCCCGTATCCAGGAACATTATTACCACGATAACATCTTCGGGCACCCAATTTCTGATAATTTGATGGAATGAAATCATTTTCCAATTATGTATAATTCAAATTCCACGAGTAATATCTTCAAAATCCACTGGATGCACCAAGGACAATAAATTATAATCTTAAAGGACAAAGTAAATACACGATATCGGTCACTGATTCAACATTAATTGGCAACACTGTTCCGCGATCCTCGGGGGGTAAGCGCAATCAGTCGGGTTTATTTTGTATTTAAACTGGGCTGGTGAATTTGCTGGTGGCCTTTGACCCCGGGGTAATTTCTACCCCCTAACTTCCTTAGAAATGCAGCTCCAAACTATTGTTTCATACATCTATTAGTTGTGACGAGTGTCGTGTACGAGGCACGATATGCTCATTCTTTCTTTTAAAAAACACCACCAGTTATCCAACTTAGCAACAATAATTATTATCTTCAACAATATATTCTTAAAACTGTGGATAAAATACCTAAATATCAAAAGGATTGCGAAGTTGTTGTCCGGAAACAGACAGCATAATGGACATACAGGGAGTTAGTTATATAAACATTCATGTTCAATCAAAATTACAATAAACATACAATATATGATACATTTTGTTTGTTCTAAAGTGATAGTTATCATGCATTATATGCAATCTTCCACAAATAATGATAGACATAATATATAATGATCGAGGCATCTTTTAATGCCCTTTAAAAATCCAAGCAATACACAGTGTCTATATATAATAAACATACACAGCAGATCAATGTCAAAGGTCAAAACATATTGTAATGTTACAAGATGTATAATATTTAACATAAACTCAAATCTATACAATTATATCACATGACAATATATATTTCACTAAACTCAATATCGTTGTAACGTATAGTAGTATATTTATCTCGTTATTTAATATATAATAATTATGTATGTACAGTTTATCTTATTGGCATATGAATACACTATATGTCCTTTTATCACAGCTATTAGTTCATTTAACTGGTCACTGTCTCAGTACAACCACTGAGAAAAAAACAAACAACGAGGAACGGTAACTCCGTTATTGTTAAAGCCACAAATGTCCCTTCTTTGTATAAACTAGCGGTTCTTCATAAAACCTATACAATGGGAATGTTTATAGACGACAGACGAAAATAAATCTACATTTGATTCTTTTTCAAAATAACCACTCAAAAGAAACTTACGACCTTAGTATTGTTGAAGAGCTTGATGCAAGCAGATCAAACGAATTAGCTGACAACTCGCTTTGTAATACGTATAAATCGTTCTGTCTGGATTTTCCAGTTTTCAGACAGCAATTAACACCAATTTTCATACTTTCTAGTCCATACTTGGAACAACCAACATCATTAACACCTTTAGCCGACATGTTTCAACGTTCGATCCAGATCACTTGGTGATCGAACAAGTCTGGGTGCTTTGGGCCGAACAGATTTATCTCCCCTGAATGTGGGCGACAGCGGCACCTCCGTGGAATCCAACGTCACCTTTGGCCTGTGCCCCAATATCTCCAATATGGCGTCGACGGTCGTGTACAAATCGTTTTCAAAATTATGCATTCGCCTATAAAAGATAAAAATACTCTATTAGTTAAACAAAGAGTTTGTGATGAATTGTGCATCTTTGTAGAATGCAGTGACCTAACCAATCAATAAAAATAAAACCCAAGGAGAGAACACAACGTTTTCTAAAGTAATAATCCATGCAACCATTAAGGTAACATAAATACTTTCAGTCCTAAATATGTACGCATTGTACCGTAAGCAAATTGTCCACGGTTCCAGAGAGGATTTAATCATAGATTTAATTTTTAAAACCCAGCCAATTACTTGTTTTTGATTTGGATGATTCATTACACGCGTGGGCCTATACTTCGAAAAACGATATCTTGAACAATGAAAATTAATGAACTGCGTAAAATATCCAAATGTCGTGTTTGAACTTATTCAATCATCTTGATAATAAGATCAGATCAAATGTCCCTTTAAAGGGCCAGTCTCGATTATATTTTTGAGAATGAAACTGCTTAATTTTATGTGAAAAGCCTGTAAAATCCTCTACCTTAGGGCCGAGCAACTAACTCAATATACGTGATGGAAATAGAGACCTGTATTTTACGGTGTCTGGATAAAACCAGACTTTTATTTTCAAAAAATAACGTATAGGTGAAATTTTCCGTTCGTTATCAAGTACAGCAGACGCATCACGCACGGTTTGGACCTCTAAAGGAACGGTAATAGATTACCCAAAGATAAAATTGACCCGAAATAAACGCTTTTGAACTTCACGTCCACACGACTCAATATTTTGAGCTGGAATTTTCAGACACGGTAAATACAGCGCATTGATCTATATTTTGGCGTTTAAATTTCATACGTACACGGATTTATATTTCTGAGACTCTGTTAAAATCGGGATGGTTCCTTTAAAAATATATTATGTAACCAAAGAAAAAAACAATGAAATATTTGCTAAAAAAAAATCTGCTTGGCCCAAGTGTGAGCTGGGGGTGGGGGACAAATTACAGGACATGTATACACTTTTGAGTTGTCTGGCCTGGACCCGCGTTTGAATAATGTTTAGGAACAATGAAAAGCCAGGCTTTATGGGGTTTATTCATGTACTTCACGTTCGTTTATTGCGCTAACAAGCCATTTTATGTGTGCTACTACAATAACCTTCCACAGGACTACTATTTCAAACATAAAACCCGGGGCAACGACATAAAAAGATTAGTGACTGACTTACTCATATAAACTCTCGAGTTTATGATCAATATCGGCCAAGGAATGAATACTGCCCTTTTCTGTATGCTGTCGGATTTCGTAATCGATATTATGCGGGAACTTCCATATTTGGCCGGCACTGGATGATGATTTTGGAGTATAAGTAGTTCCGCTTGAGGCTATTGGTGATAATCCTGGTTGTCCAATTAAGCTGTCTGACGTAATATCCTTTTTAGGAAGCCCATGAGATGTTCTGGGTAGAAGTGGTCTGGTTTCTCTACTTGTGCCTTGCTTATCTTTCTTCGTCTTACCAGAAACAGCACTGATAAGGTTAGACATGGCACCTATTTATAATAGAAAATACAGTTAATGATGTTAGATCAATGCTGGTTATAGATTATTTTTTGTCATTACACGTATACCTGTGTTAGCATTCTAGTGTTAGAAAATACTACCTAATGTCAAACTTTATACACGTCCATAAGATGTTTTGTTATTAAAAAAAAAGAAATCCAATCAATCAACCAAGGACATCTAAAAATTTGAATAAAAATCAAATTTATATATGGGACTCTTAACAACACGTTCGTTTGCGACACAAAAAAGCATTCCCTGCTTAATTGGAAATTCAACATTTTTGCAAATAACAACTGTTTCAAAAATTGAAATTCAACGTAATTAAATGAAATGAAATAGGGTTTAACGTCTTACTGTTCTGCACAAGCTGGGCTAATAAATACAGAAATGAAATGACATGAAATGGGGCTTAACATCCTACTGTTCTGCCCTGGCTGGGCGAATGAAGGCTGGCATCACACCATTCAGTGTGCTTTGAGGGGAACTTTGCAGGGATAGCGGCGCCATGGTCTACTCATATATCGAATTCTACTGTCAAGGGTTCTTTTACGTGCACGGTACCCCGGGTTTTCGTTCCATCCGAAAGACTATACATTGTCCCTTGCCAGGCCCACTGTGCTGCACCAGTGACAAGGGGAACCACGCCGGAATATCCAGATGAACTTTGTCGGCCAACACTGGGATCGAACACGGGACCTCCAGGCTAGCGAACCAACGTCTTACTCACTGCGCCATAGCGGCTCAACTAATGGAAACGGTCATACGCCATGCAGTGTGCTATGAGTGGCACTTTGCCCGGACAAGGGAGCTACGGTGGCTAAGTGGGTAAGACGCTGGCTCGCTAACCTGGAGGTCGCGTGTTCGATCCCTGCATTGACCGAGAAACTTCATCGGGATTTTCTGTTATGGTTTCCCCTTGTCAGTGGTGCAGGACAGAGGGCCTGACAAGTACAGCTGTCCAGTCGTTCGGATGGGACGAAAAACCCAAGGTCCCGTGTATACATTGGAGTGCACGTAAAAGATCCCTTGGTAGTTGGAATTTGATATAAGAGTAGGCCACAGGGCCCCTGTCCGGGCAAAATGCCCCTCATAGCACACTGTATGGCATATGCCGGTCTTCATTCACTCGGCAAACCTCAACAGATTCCAGTACCCTACATCTAATCTCGGCTGTATGATAAAGTCCGCCATTAGAACTACTTTCAAGTTCCCGGATTACAATGTCGTTGTCCATGACGACCAATGACGTCATTGATGACGACGTATTTGAAGAATGTTTTATCTTACAAGTTTTTCTTTCAAGTTTATCCGATTTTCTTTAGACAAGGACAAATTTGCACTGAAAATTCTACACACACTTCGAACGACGCAATTTTGAGAACTTCTTTCTAAACGCGGGCAAGTTTCCCTTATAAGTAAACCGGTGCCGCATCGCAAATGTATAGGCGTAGGTACATATCACTTACTGTCATACAGCCGAGGCTAGATGTAGGCTTACGGAATCTGCCGAGGTTTGCCGAGTGGGTCTTCATTAACCCAGTTGGAGCAGAACGGTAGGGCGTTAACCCCCATTTTATTTCATTTTGCCCGAACAACGGCGCTACACCCTACTCTTATTTCGAAACCCAACAAGTTGTCAAAGGTTATTTTACATGCACGCACACGTGTACACAGAACTTCGGTTTATCGTACCACCCGAATGACTGACTACACGCTTTTCCTGGCTAGGCCCTCCGCCCTGCGCCATTCATCACGTCGGAAAACACCGAGGAACTTTCTCGGCCAACACTGTATACTCACCACGGCTCCCAATTGTAATTAATATGGTTTTGAATGATGCTAATGGTTTCGAAATAAACACTCATATATACATTATCTTTTGTAGCAAATAATTTAGGCAATCTCACCAGCTATTGACGTTTGAGAACTTTTTCGGGGCATTTCTGATTTTCGTGCAAAATCGTCATCTCCAACGTCTTCTGTGGTAGCGGCAGCTGATAGTTCGAGAATACCCACGCCTTCATCTTCACTTCCAGAAAGGTCTAGAAGATCTCGATCTCGATCTCTACCTTCAGAACCCATAGCTCGTCTCTGTCTCAGTCCTCTACTACTAACTGATAAATTGAAAGGTCGAAGAATTATAAATCTCTGAGAAGTTTGAAATATTTGTTACGGTGATCGATGAAATTGCAAATTACCGATATTGTTCTCGGTATATTAAAGATACATTATTGGAGATTAGATAAAGAGTTGACAGTTCTCGCTATAATATATAGTTACAAAATACTTAACGTAAATAGAATACGTTGATTATTTCAGTCAAATTGCTCCACTTTGAACCGCGATATTAGCTTTTGAATTTTAGGCTAGCCTCGATCATCATTACTAAAGTCGGTACGATAAAAACAAAGTCTCGATTATCCAGTTTTACGTTTAATTTCTTTTCAAAAAATATAATTCAATCCGTTATATATCGCCGACTAGCGATTACACCGAGAGTTGATTATGGTTTGGATAAGTTAATGGATGTCTAATTAAATAATTTAGATAACATTTCAGGCTTAAAGAAAGACCTGCAATAAACACATTTAGCTCTTGCATAATGTGTGTTTAATTCGGTCCGTCGTATCGAGAAGAATTGTTCGAAATGGGTTCTTAGTGATTGTGTATATAAAAATTACTTATTAATCTCAATAAAATTAGTACCATCATCCTATGGCTATAACATTTGAAGTCTATAAACACAAAATTACAAATCGGTGTAATATGTGCAAAGTAGTAACAGTTGTTCCGGGAAAAGTAAGCATACGCGGTTCCGTTCACGACGCCCACCAGTAATATACATGTATAGGTAAACTATGCTGGGGCCTGGGGTATAAATGATAAATGGAAAACATAAATAACCTTTGATATAGACAACCAGGAAGAAACAAATAGACGTGCTAGGCTATGAAAGAAAGGGGAGCATGTTTGACTGAACATATCTTAAATAATGATCCAAATATTGTGTTGTGGATAAATGGAAAGAATAAATGGCCTTTGATATGGAAAACCAGGAAGAAAAAAGTACAAGTGTTATATCTGGTTTATGTAAATATAAATAGGAATGAATTACCATCGGAGTCTGTAGGTCGTCGCTTGCATTGTAAGCGTGGTCGTCGTTGTCGTATAAACCGTAAAGTTTCATCTTCCATCTTGGCTTTTACTTTTCGCTCTAGCAACGTGCCCTATAAAATAGAATACATGAGAAGTGTTGGTTTTAACTGGTGATATTTCCACATTTATTTTCTCCAAATCTCCCAATATCCTCTCGCTTTACTGAAAATGAACAATAAACAAAAATCTCCATCCATCTATTTTGATTAGATTCTATAGAATTTGCAAAAAAAACCCCTGGTCCTTTAACATTTTCCATAATTAAACTAATATTAGTATTACTCAGTCTCATTTGTAAAAAAAACAATAAATAATACTGATCCTATAATCAGTGACGTAATTTGTGAGAAGTCCATTAAATTTTAAAGAAATAATTGATTACCATCTGGATGCACAAGATGCAGAAATGAAGCTAACTATACTTGTGATTTGTGTCAGAAAAGTGCAAAAATATTATTCCAGAATGGTGTAACCATGGTGTAACCATTAACAGACATTTTATATATTTTATAAAAAGCAGTAATTCTATTCCGTAGAATTGTAACCTGAATATTTTATAGAGAGTTAGAGAAGAATACAGTGTATACTACATGGACAGCTAACACAAAATAGTAAGTAGAATAACGTTCAGAGAATAGTGTTTAATCATTTTGTCGTTGATCTTTAAATTGTATTAATAACCTGTTTTTTTTTTAAAACCAAAAAAGTCTACCATGATCGCCACCACCTCCTCAAATATTACAGCCCCCAGGGCATTTAATGGTTTTATTTGACGTCTGATATGACTGACATAATTTATCAGAACATAGCTACATTAATTTTCTGTTGGTTTAGACGGATATACATCGACTTAAGTAAAATATTATACTCTTCAAAAAAGTAGGGGATATTGAAATGCAAATACCTATGCAGGTTGTGATATGATAAATAGTCATGGACATTTGACATGCTTTGAGAGTATGTTCACAGATGAAGAACTTATCGACCCAACAGAACCACTGAGCTGCATGTGCGACACGCAATGGCGCCGTGAGAGGGGTTCATTGTCAAATTTGACACTTCAAGAAAGGGATGATGAAAACTGCCGCCTGCTGGTTTATCTATCCATGTTAGCATTCCTATCGGTTCTTGCATAAGATTTACTGTTTAGCGTATCTTTGCTTTAGTGTGTTACGTTTAATTTGATCGGGAGACGTGTTCGTCGACGTCAACGGCAACCGACAACACTACAAGAATTGGCCGTGGAACTGCAAAAGGAGTGGATCAGATTGCCCCAAATCGTGATTGGACGGTTGATTAGGAGCATGACACGACGAATTGCTGAATGTCTGAGGATTGGTGGAGCAATTACTCATTATTAAGACAAAAATCAAAAAAGCCCATTTTCACTTTTGACAGTGTATCTCTTTGCGAGTGAAATGGGGCCGTCAGATAAGTCGCCCAAAATGAACTGTTTATGTTCATGTGTAGGGAATTGGCCTGTTATTAACATACACTGGTTACCTCTAATAAAAACAGTAGTGCATTTCCGCAGTTTTGTATTGTTTCTGAATATCCCCTACTTTTTTGGAAGAGTATATTTGTATTTTGAAAATGTCATTTGGATGTAAAACGCAAGGCGTTTGTTACACGAAACGATTTCAACAATAACTTCATAGATGTATAGATTTTACGGTGGTTAGTTATATCGAAAGCAAATACATAAGGTTTCAAGAAGAGTCATATCATTCATTCGCCACGACCCAATTCTAATGCCTCTGAAAACCACGATCATTTTTAAAATCTAGAATAGCAGTTATCAGCGATCTTGGCTTATAAGCAACGCCAAAAATGGTAAATATATACACGCCCTTTTCGATGATTCGTTCCGATGGTCGCACAGTGATTAAGGCGCTTATACACAAACCAGTATGTCTGCTGGTTGTCGATCCCGGCGTTGGCCTAGAAGGTTGTCTGAAAGTTTTTTAGCGTGGTTTTCCCTTTCCAGCTGCAGATGCATGTTGGCGTGCACGTAAAAGACCACTTGACACCCGAACCGAAAGTCGACAAGGATAGGCGGAAACGCCACAGTCCGGGACAAAAATTTCTTAGAGCACACTGCAGAGCTCATGCCCATCTTCATTAGACTGGTGGGTGCAGAAATGTAGAACGTTATACCACATTTCATTTCTATATTTCGTAGGTTACAGACTATAGTGGTGATACAGTAGCATGTCCGTGTATTATCAAGACAAGTAGAAGTAATTGCACCACTGACGTCATATTATTATACTCACCTCTGCCTGTAAACACCAAAAAGCAAAAAATTAATATTAAATCACAACTCGTACACAAATCGTAGTTACGCACAAACATTTTGTAAGATTTTAATGGCGACAAATTCAAGTCCATAAAACCATAAGTTACACACCCGAGAGCGTTTGCCCGTGCATTGCAGCTTCCGCTCCGCCATATTTCTAAAGCAACTTTATGAAGCAGTATTATGCGATAAATAAAATTGATTAAAGCGATAATTTCATATTTTTAAGTTATATTTGTAAAATGTATTAAAATAAAGCATTAAAATAGATGGTATCTATAAACAGTCCTACCTTGTTAAAGAATAATCCTATTAATCCTATAATTCACTATTGCCAGTTGAGAAATTGGCAAAAATATCATTTTCAACTTCAAATTCAAACGTTTGAAGATAACTATTCCATGGGGGGAATAGAAAAACAAGAGAGGTAATTATGTTTTGACTTTCTTAGAAAATATGAAATTCTCGCTTTAAAGGATGAATATTACAAACCTTTCTGAGATTGAAGGTAACTTGGAACAGCTGCATGAAACTCTCTGAGAATTCTGGATATGTTTGTAGTATTTCTTTGAAATCGTCCAACTCTATTTTATTAATATCACAGTAAGACAAAGCTCTAACACAATACATGGATTTTCCAACACCCACGCTGTTCTTAATATCTTCACCGAATATATCATCTTTACCTAAACAAGTGAATATTAAAACGAGAAGAGCTTAAAGAAAACATAAATATTGCATGAAATGGTTTAATTAAAACATTGACGCACAACCTTTCTTACATCTTATTCAAGTGGTGACACTGACATAAGCCTACAACAAATGGAATATTAGACCTAACTCAGGTATGCAGTCTCTCCAAATAACTCATAACTCGATCCCAAAAAGATCAGATATAAAATAAAAAAATAATATTTATCATCACAAATACATGTGACTTTTAGAAAATAACTCCAGGACAGAATTGAAATGGATTTCAGAAGATCAAGTGACTGATAATTTCGTGTTAACCTAAAAACATATTTTCTATTGGAAATCTTTTACTCGGGAAAATCATTCATAAAAAATTGATGGCTATGTTTGTGGGATAAAGAAAATAGCCTTTTGAGACAAAGATAAAACAGTAGACAATGTATGGCTGTAAATAAGTAATCTATAGATGTAAAAAATAAACTTAATGTGTTTCACAGTCTTCAGTTGGACAGACATAATTATTGATTTGGTTAATTAATAATGATATACTAGTATTTATATCCATGTTACATAATAAGATCTAATTGACATGTAATTTTTTTTCCTATGTAATCACTACGGCAAATTAGAATGTATTTTAAATAAATTTACATCAGTAAAAAGCTATTACAATTATTCTTGGTGCATGAGTAAGTATAATTTTGTGTATAATTTATATAACATTTTTGAGAATGCGGTGTTGTTTTGCGTACGTTAAACCAATTCTACAATACGGGTTTCTCGAACTTTTCTTTTCATGAATACTGGACATGTCGAATGGGCCTTGAATTTCGACATTTCCAGATATAACTGTATACGACTAAATATTCAATTTCCTTGTCTATTCGTGTTCTTTGTTTCTGGCGGTGCCATTAAAACTGCAATACAGAACTACATCAAAATTAGATATAATACACTTTTTACTTACCTAAAATAGCCATAACTATATCATCTTTTAATATTTCTAATGAACCACGAGCTATAAAGTATATTGCTGTTATTATATCTCCCGGATGAACCAACGTGTCCGCTGGAGGTGCGTGGGTAGATTTGAATTTTAGTGACAACGCTCGCAAACAACCTGCGAAGAATTAAAATTTAATTATAGAACTCGCATTTGCATGTTTTTTTAATACACGTTTTGAAATCAAGTGCTAGTGCAAAGGTGAGGTGGGCATATGCCTGGAGGAGCCAGGTTAACACATCCCTTCATTACATTTCAGGACGTGTATTACTTGGTCAGTGAGTCTGTTTAAATCGTGGGCAACTCTTCTATTAGACGCGAGAAAAGGAAAAATGACCAAACACGTCCCCGATTGTTGAAAATAAAACCCCCAATAACTAAGGAACAATAGCTGCAGGAAAAGTTAGATATCCAAACATGATAGGAAAATTTGACTAATCCGAACTAACAGATCTAAAATGTAAATACGCCTAATACTAAATTATCACACGAACAGCAGCTATTTAGGCACAGTCCCCTGATAAGTTCACGTACTATATTCTTCATTAAACTTTGTTTTATGCCTCTAAATACCGTATCGATGGCACTATGTAATTTTATTTCCCGATCCTAAAATATATATATTTACCTGGACTGGCTCCTTTAAAAGCTGGACAATTATTTAACAAATTACGGTTTAGGTGAAGACATATATCTGCCTGGAGACAATCGGGGAAACCTTTCAAAACCTAGACAACCAAAATGAAGAAAAAACAAAACAATTATAAATTTATGTTTGTTAGATAGAAAGCGACAGAAGATGAAAGCATCGACGATTCGTTTTAGATACAATGTCTGCTCTCTGATCACCTTTGACAAACCAGCCATAATGAAAAACTATAAGTTGACATTTAAACTATTTTAGTCCAGACAAACGACAATTACACATTGCGTACAAAATTAGTCTTTAAACACAAACATAAAGAACGAATTATGTGTAGTTTCTGATTTCTATTTTATCAGATCTCCCTTTTTGTTTTACCCGGGTAAGACAACCATGAGAATAATGTGGACAGTGGTTGCGGCTGTGTCCATTTTAACCTCGGATACAGTTGTTCGTTAACCCAACACAAGGTACAAAAACTAGTGTTGCTAACAATTAATTCTCTATCAGTGTAAATTTCGTTCTTGGTGTTGCTTTGTGTTTATGTGCCGTCTATGCAACCGATAATATGTCGTCTATGCAACCACAACAGATAAAACAAAGTAAAAACAAAAAAAAAATAATCGACAAATGGACATATCAGATATCTAGAAATTGACGAAATTTGAATGCCACGTGTTTAACAGTGTGATACCGAACAGTTAGGTTTAATAAATATCGTCGACAAATTGACTTGTTTTTAAAAAAAACCCAAAAAACAAAAAACAAAAATAAAATATCTTACTTAGGTTCGTTGAAATAGCGGAACCTGTTTTACTATGTTCAAATCTCATTTCTTTTAAGACACTGATGTCTATAGTCATGGAGACAATCTTGATTTAATAGACTTCGGGCGCCGGACAAAAGCAATTTAAAATCACAACCGAAACAAATTCACTCGAAATCAAAATTACATAGAGTCAAGTGAGGTAAAAATAAAAAAGAAAGTCCTATGTACACGTATTAGCTTTTCTTATCTATCAAATCTAAAATCAGAGCAGAGAAGCAATTTCCTTTTGACAAGAGATGTTGACGCTGTCTGTCGATTAATTGAGTCTTGTGCCTCTCAAGACGTGTGATTTATTAGCCCAACGATTTTCGGGATGGCCACAGAATACTGACAAGTTAATATTGACATAAGACGGCAAGCAGCGGAAACCCATGTCGACATAAAGGGACAAAGCTCTGATAAGGCACCAGACAATCTTCATGATTTAACGGCTAGAATAATTCTACCCAATAATTACATGGCAGCAATCCTGTTTTGTAATACTATGTTTTGCGTTTGAAATCCCTCATTGTTCTGTTTTCATTTCCGTTCAAATCCAACATTTTCACGCATTTCTGACTGACTTCAAGACTTTCTTTGTTTCCTTTATTACATTAAGATCAATATTGTTACAAACCGTTGTTTTATTTCTGGTTTAAAATTATTTATCTTCAGAATGCCATCCTAATTGAAATATATGTCTAAAAGCGATTTAATTTAAATGACGTTGTCTACTGGAAGATATTCATCAACTCGGCGCGCGCCAAACTTAGTAATTCTATTCAAAATAAAACTTGAATACCGCCGAGGACAGGGTTAAACATGAAATAAGCCTGTTCCCTAAAACTAACAACCCCCCCCCCCCCCAACGTACCCGGCCGTCGAAACCCAGCCATAACATATGGTCCAGATCGTTAAAAAGCATGAATATATTTAAACATAGAAATACTTTCCGGAGGCGCTTCAAATAATTTCTGTACACGTAAAACTAACTAAAAAAGGAAGACTATGGCGTACATAAAAAAAATCTGGAAGAAGCTACTTGCGTTAGATAAGAAAATACAACTCTCACCTTGGGGACAACACTTTGAAAAACTGATTAATCAGACAAAATAGCGAAATAATACTTACATTGTTCATATCGATACCGTTAGTATAGGTCCACGAATGTTGAAAGGATTCTTGCAAGCGGTTGGCTAAAGTTTTTGGTATTTGGTGAAATATTATGAATTCTTTGATACTCTGGACATTTTCATGGTATTCATCAGAACCTTGATATAATCTCAACATGATAGAAGATACGTTACCAAATATGGCAGCACTCAGTAAGGCTGAAATTAAAAGATTTTTGTCATTACCCGTTTATATAGAATCCTTTCTTTATCATGGACAATTAACCTAGGGTTTAAAAAGATACTACCAAGTTGTCAAAAAGTTCAATTAGAATTATATCCTGTAAGAGGTCACGTGACCTCCCGATGATATAAAACCTTTGACCGACCATGGGAAATTCAACTGCTGATCGGAGATTATTGGGAGCAGAAAGCACAGAACATTTCAACTTTATTTCAAATTTAATCAAACATTTATATGTCCACCTTACCATGACACGTGTCAAACTCTTGAAGCTACTCAAATTCTGCTGTCTTCACCGAGGGCCATACTATATACCGGAAAACACCGGAAAACAACCGGAAAAACCATTTTATACTGAATACCGGAAAACAACGGAAAAACACTAAATACCGGAAAACATCCTAAATACCGGAAAACACCCTAAATAGGTAACCCGGAGCCTGGTCCTCTGTGTGCGGTTTTGGACCAAGTGAGCGCCGATGAAGGAAGGTCAAGGTCATTACGATGTTCGTTTTACAAATAGCCCCCCCCCCCCCCAAAAAAAAAAAAAAAAATTAAAAAATATCCGATTTTTTTCCTCCAAAATTTTGTTGATGCCTATTATGTTTTGAATGTTTTAAAACACGCAATCAGTCTACCTCCGTCATTGACCATATTTTATTTTGTATTTTAATTTTAGTTTTCAGTAAATTTTAGTAGATTTCAGTGTTTCAGTATTTCAGTAGATTAAACACAGCCCTCTGAGGGCCCCGTTATATGCCGGTTGCGCCGGTCTCCTGATTCTTACCAGTAACGCTGGCATCAGGGTGGTACGAATTAGTGGAAGGCACGATTAGGCCAACTCCTCCCTAGGTAACAAAAATACGCATCATAAAACAGCAAGTATCATCAAAAGCGAGTTAATAAATCTCTGAATAGTTCGAGTTGAAGTTCCAGGTTTAACCGCTATGTGTCCTAATCACCAAACGAAATGGATGCAACGCAATTCTCGGACAGGCTGTAATCTGAAAAGTGTCTATCCTTTCCAAGAGCTATCCATCTCGTTGGAAGGGCTAAAAATCTACTTGTTTCTGAGCTTACTTTCATTCCAGGGTCAAATATAATCACTTGAACCACAATAATATTCAACATATTCCATCATAATCCGAGGGCCGCACACAGGATTTTTTTCTGGATTACTTTTCGAGCTTTATTCCCCAACTCGTTGACCAGTTTTCCTGGAGAAAACCCCAACTTTCGCCCAATTGTCCATGAGGAAACTACATATTCTATCTTACTGCATTGACGGGAAGTGGTAAGCTGGACGTCTGTGAAAAGGGTTGAACCATAAATTTTCAAGGAAGCAATTGTTGTTTTTGTTTGTGAAATAGAGGACTCTAGCCGATGAGGCTACTTTACCCCCGAGAACCTCAGGCAACCAATTTGTTTTATGTACTACTATCGTAATAAAACATTACTATATTAACCACTTCCTGGTGGCTGAAGACTTACACCGAATGCGTAATCGGAAAAAAATGTCCCCGAGAAAATGTTTTTTCCGATAATCGATATTCGAGATGTCTTCTGTTGCACAAATTATGCTACACTGTGTAAGAACTTGCATCCTTTGATCTGAAGATTGTAGATGGAAAAGTATCATTTGCACTATTTCAAAGTAAACCTGCATTTTCGTATATCATCCCGTAATTTGTGATTAATGACAATGACTGTGGAAATAATATGGGTTGAGGAATGGAAGATCTATGTTCGTCACGTGACTGGACAATTCCACCCCACCCCCCGTCCCACCCTGACGATGATCCCTCCCGGAGCGGCGCGGCGCGGCGCGCTCTCTAAAAAAAATCTCGGGCACAGTTTACTCTTCTAAGTTTTCCGGTAGCTATTTAGTAATGCGGAGTTTGGTCCTCGTGTGTGGTTTTGGACGAGGTGAGCGAGCGATCGCCACTCTCTCCCAAATTACCCTCAAAAAACATTTTTTTTCCAGTATATTTCTCTGTAAAATTATTTCCTACGGAATGTTTTTTTTTTGTAAAACCAATTTTTCGGAAAAATTCGATTTTTTTTTTGGGGATGGGAGGACAGAAAATTTTTTTCGTCCCAAAAATTTGGGAGAAAAAAAAATCGGATTTTTTTTTTTTGGGGGGGGGGGGGCTATTTGTAAAACGAACATGACCTTGACCTGCCTTCATCGGCGCTCACTTGGTCCAAAACCGCACACAGAGGACCAGGCTCCGGGTTACCTATTTAGGATGTTTTCCGGTATTTAGGATGTTTTCCGGTATTTAGTGTTTTTCCGGTGTTTTCCGGTATTCAGTATAAAATGGTGTTTTCTGGGGTTTTTCCGGTTGTTTTCCGTTGTTTTCCGGTGTTTTCCGGTGTTTTCCGGTATATAGTATTGCCGCTTCACCGATCTCGATGTGATCGTACTATATATTACACGACCACTACACGACGGTATTGCGAGGGCTTCACATATATACATGTAGTTGTGTTGCCTTACTAAGACAATTGGGCAGATTTTGTTTACTTCGTATAGTCCTCATGCAATCTGGTTAAAACACAGATCCTATTTCGTTTCGTTTTTATACTTCAAAATTTCATTTTACTTGTCTTTACTACACTTGGATCTGGAAGAGTTGTTATTTTACTCGTGTTCTAAATGGTGTCAGGGATAAGCCAATGAAACGGTCTGTCACGGCGAGCTTTAGGCGTGTTTTGCACGGAACTGTGGGTAATCCACTAGTAACACCAATGCTGATTGGTTAATCAAATGTCTGACATCATAGGGCCATAAGTCTGTCTTTTGACCGCTGACGTGATTTATCGCTATAACTTGTCATATCTTCATGTAGTGTATATAGGCCATCGAAAGTATAAAAAAAACCGAAACGAAATATAGATCGGTATTTTAATTAGATTGGTCCCCATGAGGAGTAAAATACCCAATGGCACCGATGATCACACGAAGTAAAGACCAAGATGACACGAATTGACAAGCTACCCTCATGATGGCCTTCTGAAGGGCAAAATGGACACACGAATTCAACACAAAAATTAACCTTCGCAAGGTCTTTTGGCAATTTTTTGGCATGCCAAAGCTTTTGCCCAGCGCCCACGAGGTTGCTGCCGGAACCTGAGAAACTCCATAGGCGTCATACGATGGTTTAAGATGCCCTCGCGAATAGCCCGATGTTTTTACGATCAGAACCGAATTCAAAAATTTACTTTATCTTGTGTCCATATTTGAAGCAAGCGAAACGCATAATGGATGATATTTCCCGAACAGGGAAATTTTTTATGTGCATGGGTTTCATAAGTAACCAGAAAAGTCCCGAAGATTCTTCTTAAACAACAATCTATTTTGAGTCCAGTGTCATATCCCTCAACATTATATTTCATGTTCCAGAACTTGACCCGGCTTAATGTTATGTAAATATAGATAAGGACTCGTTGTTTTCGAAATCCCAGAACGTTGAAAAGAAATCTCAACACATGCTGTCAATTAATCAATATTGAAATTTAATTCCACTCAATCTAAAAAAAAATATATGATTTCATTTCCACGGTGTATTACCATAATTTAATTACAAAAATAAGATTGTGTAAAAACAGCATGTGGAAGACTCTTCATTTTAGTTGTTGATAGAGTCATTTATGCATGGTTCGTCATACAAAATGAAATAATATAATTGAATTTCATACAACCATACGAATTCAGGGTCCCATACAACGCTATAACATGACTATATACGAAACATTTGAAAACTGTTTCTAATGTAATAATAAGCCAGGACCGTCTGAACAACATTATTGGCACTCGAACAAAGCAGTGTACTGGGGACCCTTATACACAACCACTCACTGGAATAATATGAAGCATATTATTTATTGTATTGGTAATATAGTTTATTATAGTATAGTATGTATTTATTGACAGCAAGTCACAACATACATAGATTAGCATGGGGCCCCTATGCTCGTGGAGCCCCCAGGAAACTGCCAAGGCGGTCCTGAATCTAATCCCAAGATTATATACAACACTGGGTTTATTTTGCGATTCTTGTCGTATTGCGTGTCTCGGTGATGGGAAATTCATTGTTTTCGTAACGTGCCGGTACGGCACTTGGGATAATTTAGTTGCTTTATTAACACGATTGCAACGACCGAAGTAAATTCAGCTGCACTTGATCAATGGCCGTACAAACACCAAATATTTTTTCACACAAGCATAGTATAATTAAGTTTTCGAACGACCGCCACAGAGCTTAAAACAGAATATGCAAGAACATCAAATATATAGCGTGGGTTAAATTACAATATAGCATGACTCGAATAGCCTATATTCGTTCTCTGTTTAGTAATTATCAAAAACTTTGGGATATTTTGGAAAAAAATTGGTATAATGCCATTGAATGTCTATAAATGATATTCGATTCCAGATAATTGAATTGCTCGTTTTAGATGTGTTTGAACCCATTTACCTTATGATCAAGTATATGATGATGATACGCTCTGAAAGCTATTATTATAGAAGTGGATTGCCAGTGGTCCAGTTTTATGCGCCGAAATTATGAGAGAAATGGTAAGGCGTAAGGTAGACTATTTATATATAGACGGGAAATATAAATAATAATAGAAATTTGTATCGTATCCATCTAAATATTTTTTGTTCTAGACAATATAAATATCCGACAACTCAGTCATGAGATGTGATTTGAGCGATTTGATTGGCTAAAACCAATGTTGCCCACGAAAAAGTAACACTTCATTGGCCAGACGAGAGATTAGATCGGGTCAACTGAAAATATACTTTTTCAGAATGCTTCTAGACAGTTGAATTCAGAATACATTACGGGGTCTAGATGAACTCAAAATGACCCGTTCTAAATATTCACTTGGCCGAAGAAGGTTTTCGCAATACCGCTGTGTAACCGTTTGAGATGAACTAAGTTTGAGACGCAACATTCAAATGTCC